TACCACCTGAGGGCATGAGATGCTACAGACAGGCAAAGTCAAGATCTAAGACTCACGTGGCTACAATCAACATCAAAGACCCACGGCCCTGGACATTTCCCTGGCCTAAACCGCCTTACGCCAAAGGCCCTCAAATATACCTAGTTCTTGGTGCCACACTTTCCTCTGAGTGTTGGGTCTCCTTTCCAAACTGTGAAAGGTGAAGAATAAACTTTACTTCTTTCTACTTTCTTCCTTGCTGCAATCTTGCATTATTCCCGCAACACAACATTGGCACCGGCACTGGCCCACCTCCCCTTCAGTCATCTTTCCCTGGAAATTAAAGGGCATATCCTGTGCAGTGGAAAGGTAATATACTTCTACACCTTGCCGCACTTCCTCCAACTTTCTTCTTTCTTTTCGCCTTAAAGAAGGGGCTGACTCCACCCTCCCCCCTAATTCAGCCTGACTGCCTCTCCTCCCAGCCTGATTTAGCCTTTCCTGCCTACAAATCTAGGCAAAAATAAGACAAAGTAACTCCCTAAAAACCAGTCATCTAGATTAAATTACCTTCAAGCTGTTATTCACAAGGCTGGTCCTTGCCAAGAGACAAAAATTCTTGACTTGGGTGTTCTGCTGGTAACCAGACTGTCTCCCTGCATTTTGTCTCTATCTGTCATTTATAACGGTATGGCCTTCTGCAGAGTTTCACCACGCCAGGGCAGGTGACTGCTTTGAATTTACCTAGTACAACACCAAGCTCTTAACAAACATTTCATGATAAAAGGGCCAGTGACATAGCTCCGTGAGAACAAGAGAACAGTGTGATGTCCATGTCTCGAGGACACAATTTATTCTGTCTTGTCCTTAGAAAATCATCTGCACACTATGGCTGTGCTGATTTTCTAAGCTTAGAGTGATTCTTATGCCAGAAGACACAATTAAATTCCATGAACAGTTCTTATCTTAACTTGGAGGGAAGAAGAAGAGAGCTGAACCACACAGAAGATGTAGCGTGACCTTCTATTCAAGCTAAACTGTCCACAAACTATGGCCTGTCCTAAACATTGTCTTTTTTTTCTTTGAGTTGGGGTCTCATTCTGTTGCCCAAAGTGGAGTGCAGTGGCACGATCATGGCTCACCACAGCCTTGACCTCCCAGGCTCAGGTGATCCTTCCTCTTCAGCCTCTGGAGTAGCTGGAACTACAGGAGCATGCCACCACTCCAGCTGATTTTTTGGAGAGATAGGGTCTTGCTATGTTTCCCAGGCTGTTCTTGAACTCTTGGGCTCAAGCAATCTTCCCATCTCAGTCTCCCAAAGTGCTAGGATTACAGGCATGAGTCATCACACCTAACCTAGCATTCTGTCTTTTTACAGGTCTCTGGTTTTTGTGAAACACTCAGGGTGTGAGGAAGCCTATCAATTATCTGGATTAAATAAAAAGAGGCAGGAAAAGAGAACGCTCTGCTAATGAACACCTCCTAGGATACCAGAAATGGAGAATCCTGGAGACGGTGGGAACGGCTCCTGATTTGAACTGACTTATCACAGTGATGTGCCCTGGAGCCACGCCTAGGATCGGTCCCCCTCTACTTCGACCATGTTCTCTTTCTAGGAGCCAGGAGTGCTTCTCTAGAGAGATAAATATTCCCTTCCCCCTTCAGATCATTAGAAAATATCTCTGTCTCTGCTATTGTTCAGCCTTAAGCCCGTGGAAGCTCTCCTCCAGGGAAGTAGGTACAGGGCACCCTGGGCACACCTGGGCACACCTGGATGGAGGTCTTCTAGATCTTTCCATAAAATTAGACAGTCTGCCCTTTATTCTACCTTGCACTGAGATGTCACTGGTCTTGGATGGTTCGTTCTTGAGTTTCATTTGGAATCTGTCCTAAATAATTTAATTAATTTGTGATGGATAAAATTCCACCTTGCTTTCTGAATTTGTGACCCATCTTAATTTCCACCAGAGGTAAGTAGGCTAAAGCACCCTCGGACAGAGCTGGGGCATGGAGTCATATGCTTGTACTTCCAGCTACTTAAGAGGCTGAGGTGGGAGGATTATTTGAGCCCAGGAGTTCGAGTCTAGCCTGGGCAACACCACAAGACCTCCGCCTAAAATAAAATAAAATAAAAACATACAGTAGCTTATTAATGATGCTAGTTGTGGGTCTGTAAGAAAAGAAAAAAATAAAAAAATACACGTTAAAAAAAATATCTACATGGTCCTGTCGTAACCTTAATATGGTTTAATACACCTTCTTTACTTCTAGACTCCAAATGAGAAACCCAATTCTTATCCATCTGCTTGAAATTTAGGTTGGGGTTATGACAGTGTAAAGATACAGGACTTCACATTGCAAACTGACAGATTTTGGCTCTCCATAGGTACATGCAAATCATATGAATGTAGGTTTCAGTGAAAACCGTAATCAGCTCTGCTTTGTTAGATATAAATTCTGCTCAAATAGAAACCTACTGCTAGTGGGCAAAAAGACATTTACTATTTATAAGGTGAATCTCGGTCACTTATCTCCTCTCCCTTGACTATTTCAACTCTTCTCTTGTCAAATAGCTACAGCTTCTGTTCCATCTCTGACTGTCTCTGCCCTGCTCTGATGTGTTTTCCCTTCTACACACACCACTGTAGAAGCCCATACAGTGGGAGACCAATGGTAGAGCAAAGTATATGACAAGGCGCGCACATTACATAGTATTGGATTGAGTTGGTGGTTGTACCCAACAGGCCATAGTCATGTGGGTCGAAGATGTTGTTTTCTGTTATAACTTGACCTTATGATCTCATGAACATTTTCAAGACATATTTATAGAAAGCATTCTAATGCAAGGCATAGGAGGTTTTGTACTCAAAACACATCAGAATTAGTATCAGACATATTTGCTAGTTCTGAGTTGGTGGGAGAAATCATGAATAAGAATGTTTCTATCATTGTGTGTCCCACTTGTTAGTATTTAGAAGTTTGGCAAATAAGAACCGATTGGTTGAGCAGTAATCCATTTGGATACTTGGACATAGCCTGTATTGTCTGGATTCGAATTCAAATTTGATTGCTTTATTTAAAGGTATCAGTAATTTTGGACTCTTGGCATAATCTAAAGTAGCTGAGATTTTATTTAATTATTTTAATTTCATTTTAATTTAATTAAAATTAAATTTTGATGAAAATTAGTTTTAAGTTACATTTAATTTAAATTTAATTTAAAAGAACTATTTGAAAAGATATTCAGATCCACATATTGATAATGATACACTGCATTCTCTACTTTTCAGAATAGGTATAGGCTTAAGACCAATCAACAGCAACAACAAAACACATCTCCAAACATCCCAATACACTGATTCATCTTTTTCAAGTGTCGAAGCTTGGGCCAGTCGAATTAATCATGTGTAAAATAGCCTAGCATAATCAAACACACACAAACACATACACATGCACAAATGAGTATATATAAAAGTGGAGAAATCTGAGTAAGGTTGTTGGATTGTATCTGTGCTAATTTTTTGTTGGAATTGTTGTACTCCAGACATGAACGATGCCACCATCAGGGGAAACTGGCTGAGGGGCATATGAGATTTCTCTGTACTATTTCTTACAACTACACGTGAGTCTACAATGACCTCAAAATAAAAAGCTGAGGAAGAAAACAATATAGTCTATTGCCACTTAGCTTTTAAAAAATATAGGTATCACCCACCCTACTGCCCATCAAAAGTAGACTGAATAAAGAAAATGTGGTAGCCCAGCGCAGTGGCTCAAGCCTGTAATTCCAGCACTTTGGGAGGCCAAGGCAAGAGGACTGCCTGAGCTCAGGGTTTCGAGACCAGCCTGGGCAACTTGGTGAGACCTCGTTTCTACAATAAATCAAAAAATAAGCCGGGTGTGGTAGCGCACACCTGTAGTTCCAGCTGCTTGAATGACTGAGGTGGAAAGATTGCCTGAGCCCAACAGGTCAAGGCTGCGGTGGCTGTGAGTGTGCCACTGCACTCCAGCCTGGGCAACAGAGTGAGAATCCGACACACACACACACACAAAAGAAAATGTGGTATACATACATGATGGAATATTATTCAGCCATAAAGTCAAAATCACGGACTTCTCAGCAAAACGGATGGAGGTGGAGACAATCATTCTTAGTGATCTATCTCAGAACCAAAAAACCGAATACCACATGTTCTCACTCATAAGTGAACCCTGAACATTAATCACAATAGCACAAGGGATGGATCAGCAGTCATAGGACACTGCCGGGGGGGCAGAGGGGAGCACATAACAATACAAAGGGTACCGAAACCAGGGAAAGTGAGGACAAGTTGGAGGCCCAAACTTTACCTACACATACATTTCTTATGTATCTAATTCTGACTTGTACCCCACATCTTTGTTTTTTTAGACCGGAAAAATACACTTTATTTAGAAAGCAAATTAGAGAGAGAGAAGAGAGTGGAGATTTGCTTCCCCAGGGTATGGGAGGGGGCCAGAGCTTAGGATAACATTGACTGGCCATAGCTCAAAGAACACATATGGCCAGACCATAGCTTAGCAAGGCAGTGGCCACCACACATCTTTATAATAAAATAAAGTAAATAGATAAATAAATAGATACATAAATAATAGATGTATCATTTACCTATCCATACATACAGAGAGTCACATGTATACACATACACACAAAAGAGCCCCATAGAGATGCCATTTCTGAAGGATAGCCAAGAAATCATCAATACCAATGGCTTCTGAGACAACAACTAGAGAAACAGCAATAGAACACATAGCCATTTCCCCCAGAATACCCTTCTGTACCTGTTGAATTTTGTGTATCACTTGTCTAAAAAATAATTGTTTGAGGAGTGAGGGCCAAAATAACTATTTCAAACGTGAAGTAAAATGAAAAACAGCTTAGCACCCAGTCAAGGCCCAGCGAGCCCACACCAGGAGCCACCCCTCTGATATACACGTTGGCAAGGAAGGTGAAAACCCAGAACTGCCTGCCAGAGTCTTACGGCTGGAGATGCAATAGGACAGTCTGCAGTTGATCCTCCGGAAGAGCTGCTTGTTGATTGGCCACAGGACCAAGGTGAGGAGCTGAACGGCATTGATCATGAGCCCCGAGGCAATGAACACGTAACAGAAGACCAGGTGGCACAGGAACTGAGACTTCAGCAACCCCGCGAGGTCCATGGTGTGTGGTTGCTTTTATTCAAAAATAAGTAAATGTCTGCTGCAGAATGTTTCCAGAAGGGAGACAGATCCAGGACTCGGAAGAGCGTCTAAAACACAAACCAATATTAAACGTTGACAAAAGTAAAATGTGCTTTTATAGTCGGCAAAAATTTCTCTTAAAATACATACACACACCTGAAGTTAAACTCTTGGTACATCAGTTGATCTATTTGTATTTAGCAAACATTAGTGTAGTGCTTACTTCCTGCCGGGCACAGTCTGAGACCTTAAATAAAAATAATCCTTTCTGTAATTCTCCCAACCTCCTCTGAGGTCAGTACTTCTGTTACAGACAAGGAAATTGAGGCCCCAGAGGTGATGGGACTTGGCCAGTTGGCAGCTTCCCAGCTAAGCCAGGACTGAGCACTTGCGGAGCGCACAGTCCCCTCCCACTGTCACCAGAGCTATTCACAGGACAGGCCACACCTTGAGCTTCCCCTCCTCTGTCATCCCAGCCTGAACCCCACCCTCATCCCCAGCCCCTCTCCATTTCCCTCCACTTTTTCTCATCCTCAGACCCCAGCTCACCCCTTACTTCCAGCAGGATTGCCCTCAACTCAAACCTATCCTGGGCAAGGACAGGGATACCCCTAGGGTGGGCTCCATCCCAAGCACCTAGTACTAGTGAGGCATTTACTAGGTTCTGCTGTTGCTCCTTGAATCTTTCACCTTCCACAACTAGACAGCCTAGATCAGGATTGCGTTGAGGGTCACCATCATCTCTCCAGCACCAGAAAGCCATCATGGGCAAACGGTGGGAGCTTCATTTTTAAAAAAATATTTGTAAAATGACTTAACGAAGGTAGACAAGGGTTAAACTTTGAGGATATTGATGAATACAAATAACGGAAGGTAAGAAAACCACCTCCACTGCACCCAGCCCCTCCCTCGTCACACATAAATGCCAACACACACACACACACACACACACACACACACACACACACACACACACACACACACAGTCACACATCTCCTTAAGATTTACAAAATCAGAAAGAAACTCAGCACACTCGGAGCAACCAGACTCATGGTCCGTAATCTGGCTCCAGCTTCCAAACAGGATAATGAGATGACTTTATGGTTTACAGTTTCTTTTAAGGAGAAGGGTAAAGTGGAGTTTTGAAGACTCCAATGAGAAAAAAATCTGAGAGCAGTGACCTAGCTTTTCCTGCAAGCAGAATAACATTGCAATCTACCCCAGAAAGAACTCGAAGCGCAGGACAAACTCTAACAGAACAGTTCACTGATCCTAGATTTCTTACAATCTTTTCTTTGAGTCAGGGTTTTACCCTGTCACCCAGGCTGGAGTGCAATGGCATGATCACAGTTCACAACAGCCTCGACCTCCTGGGCTCAGGCGATCCTTCTGTGTCAGTTCCCGAGTAGCTGGGACTATGGGCACACACCATCATGATCAGTTAATTTTCTGGAATTTTGTTGAGATGAAGATTTTTCTGTTGCCTAGGCTGGTCTCGAACTCCTGGGCTCAAGCTATCCTTTCACTTTGGCCTCCCAAAATGTTGGAATTATAGGCATAAACCACCATGCCCGGCCAACAAGCAATCCTCTCGTCTTGGCCTCCCAAAGTGCGGGAATTGCAGGCATAAGCCACCACATATGCTAACAATCTTTACTAATAACACCAAAAAAATGAACAATCTGAATACAAATGGTCCTCAACTTACAATGGTTCCGCTTACCATTCTTAACTTTACGATGATGCAAGCGGGATACGCATTCAGTAGGGAACTCACTTCAAGCGCACACAGGACCCTTCTGGTTTTCCCTTTCTGTACAGTATCCAATAAGTTACAGGAGATATGCAACATTTATTATCAAATAGGCTTTGTGTTGGATGACTTTACCCAAGGGGGCTAATGTAGGTGTTCGGAGCATGTTTAAAGCAGGCTGATGATGGTCACTAGATCAGGTGCATTTTCATTTTTGACCTATAGTGTTTTTCAATTTACGATGGTTTTATCAGGACATAACTGGTCACAAGTCAAAGAGCACCTGTAATAATTTCAGACATATTAGTTTACTTTAAGACTTCCATGAACCCCACAAAATGAGTATTCTTATTATCCCATTTTTCAGATTAAGAAACTGAGGCAACTGCTAGGTTGGGTGACTTGTCCAAGTTTCCCACAATCAAAAACTGATCTTGAGGCCCGGCTTTAACTCTAAGCTCTCTCTGTACACCTGTCCAAGCTGTTCTGCTCCTGGGATGTGAGGATGGGCTTATCTTGTGACCTTTGCAGAGCAACCCAGAAATTACCCCAGGGAAAAAGCCCCACAGCCTTCAGTGAAAGTCACAATCACATATTATGCTCAGAAAATGGGGCTCGCCCCTGGGTCATCTGGGTTGGCTTTGAGGACGTTCTCAGTCAGGACCACAGTCACAAGAGGCATGCTGACACTTGTTCAGACTATCTGATGGCAGGCTGCATTCCTGTGTGATGTTTATACATCTCCTATAGGAGGAAAATGGGAAAGAGATTTTGGCCTGATTTCCCTGAAATCAGGTTAGCGAAGACATCCTATCCTCTGGGGCCCAGAAGTTTTACTCTCTGACACAAACCCAAGCCCTGCAGGGTCTGAATCATCACATCTCAGGCCTTTCCCAGACAGCATCTCCACAGACACTTTCAAGTTGTAAAACTCACTCCTTACTTAGTTTCAACACTCCGGCTCTCCCTCTAAGAAGCAGGCAGGAAGCTGGCATCTCACCCTCAGTCACTTGACTTCAGGAGCCACATAAATAGGAGGGATTTTCATGAGTTTGCAGCTTGACAGCAGTTACAGTCTGATGTTGAATATTCATGCAATTTACTCATTGTCCCTGGATTAGCCACTAATAGCTTCAAGACAATCTGGCCAGACAGTGCGGTGCTTCATTGGGTTCTGGAATCTAGCATTTGTGGCAAACCCTTTGCTGATTTAACACTAAAAAAAGCAAGTTAACTGACATGGGGAATGCAGGGGATTAAATTCTGCCTTTCTCAGTTTCCAGTTCAGTATTAGGGCATTATGAAGAAAATTTAAGGGTTTTTTTTCCTTGTAAAATTTCAAGGACCACCATGCCCTCGGATAAAACCCTCACTAGTACTGTAGGAACCAGAGTGTAACATGATAGTGGTGGTATCTAAGGTAGAATCATAAACTAGCCTAGGTCTGTTTGGGGTCTTGGATTTCTACACATATCCTTAAGTCCTCTTTCCTAGATGAGTGTGATGGTCCCTGTGGGATTGGGAGTTCAACTGCTTGGGTTTGAAGCTCTGTTCTAACTCTGATGATGTATCTTTGGACAAATTAACTTTCCTGAATCTCAGTTTCTCTATCTATAAAATTCCAAAGAGGCTATTGTCTTTGATTTTGTGAAACTTAAGCTGATTCTCAAATTTATATCCAAAAGCAAAAACAGACTGGGTGCAGTGGCTCATGCCTGAAATCCCAGCACTTTGGGAGGCCTAGGTGAGAGAATTGCCTGAGCCAGGAGTTCAAGACCAGGTTGGGCAACATGGTGAGACCTCATCTCTATAATAAATTTAAAAATTAGCCAGGCATGCCTGTGGTTCTAGCTACTACTTAAGGCTAAAGTGGAAGGTTCACCTGAACCCAGCAGGCCAAGGCTATAGTAGCCATGAGTGTGCCACTGCACTCCAGCCTGGGCAACAGAGTGAGACTCTGACTCAAAAAAAAAAAAAAAAAAAAAACCAAAAAAAAAAAAAAAAAGAACAAGGTGAGAAGTGCTCTGAGTTGTTGAATAATTTAACTGACTTTAGTCCTAAGGTTGATTAGTAAAAGAGATAAGACTGAATTATTTAGGGGAGGTGTCTAATGGACCAATATGTGATGTACGTCTTAAGTTTATTCCTGATAGAAGTTGAGGGGAGAGGTCATCGTTCCTATCTTGAATAAAAGAAAGCTTTCTCTTCTGATGTGGCAATTAGCCAATTTTGTATCATACTGAGGGGAAAATGGTATAAACATCTGACCATAGATGAAAATAGCTAGAGAGAAAACATTTAAAAATACTTTGCCTGTTTCCCTTTCAGCTTTGTAAGTACCTAGAATGTCATGGAAAGAATCTTTCCAGCAAATCCACTTCAGTAGTTTATTATGTGAGGCAAGAATATGACCAGTAATTGTATGCTATTTCTGAGACTATCAGAGTTTATGAAGTTTTTAAATCAACAAATAACTATGAAGCTGTTTCTATGTCATATATCTGTGAATAATGAAATTTCTTATCAAGGGCAACAATAAAGAACTCACGGGCTCAAAAAACCAGAACTGATATGACCTTTTGCTGGATTTTAGTACTTTCAAAATGGAACAGCAGTGATGCACACATCAGTGAGCTCAGAGGAGGAATTTACCCATCACTATCCCTTTTCTTAAAAGTCACTCACATGACCTTGAGAACTGACCCCAGGAGTCTGAAGGAAAGGGTATCCTACTAAGCATTCTCCTTCAACACGTTCATGAAACCACCTATATACAATTAATATAGGGCCATGGGCAAAATCATCCAAGAGCCCTGAGCCTTGCAGAAGTGCAGCTATGGTTAGAAACTACCAGGTCAGTTGTTTCTAAATTTGCCTTCAAATCAATAAAGAGAAATTGATTATCGTCAGAACCTTCCTTGGGAGGGAAGAAGCTGATAAACAGATTTTCCCTTAAACAACGAGCCTAAAATGGCACAAATCTCTTTGATGGAATCCTAAAGTCTGACTAGCCTCCGGGCTCAAGCAGTGCTAATTTCCAGGGACTCCATCTCTCTCATGCTTCTATAATGGCATACTGCTGGTGTCAGCAGCCAATCTTCTCAGGGTTTGCCTTCTAGATAGCATCTCTACTGTAAAACCTAAGATGTAGAAATTTAACATCTTAGTGTTTGAGCTGTTTTTCAGACTTTGCACTTTGATGGACCTGAGGCCCCATCCTAACTCAAAACACATCCCAAAAAGATGGTTCCACTGGTCCTGTGATGCACTTTCCAGAAACTGTCTCTGGACATTTTCAGTTTACATCTCCCATG